TCGCGGGTATCAAACAGAACAATGACTAAATAGAATTTTATAGTATCAAACACGACAGGCACTAAATGGAACTCCCGCGTATCAAACACGACAGGCACTAAATGGAACTCCCGCGTATCAAACACGACAGGCACTAAATAGAACTCCTGATTATGAAACACGACATGGACTAATAGAACTCCTGATTATCAAACACGGCAGGGACTAAATAGAACTCCCGCGTATCAAACACGACAGGGACTAAATAGAATTTTCTAGTATCAAACACGACAGGGACTAAATAGAACTCCCGAGTATCAAACACAAGTGGGCATAGTAGAACTCCCAGTATCTAACACAACGGGGACTAAATAGAACTCCAGAGCATCAAACACCAGTGGCCATAAATAGAACTCCCGGGTATCAAAACTGAGTGAGCATAAATAGAACTTTCCAGTATCAAACACGACAGGGACTACATAGAACTTCCTTATATCTAACACGACAGGGACTAACGAACTTCCTAATTTCAAACACAACAGGGACTACATAGAACTTCCTAATACCTAACACGACAGGGACAAAATGGAACTTCCTAATATAAAACACGGCAGGGACTAATAGAGCTTCCTAATATCTAACACAACAGATACTAAATAGAAATTCCCAATGTAAATCACGATAGGGCCTAATTAGATCATCCCATACCTTATAAGATTTCCATTCCCAAAGGGAGTAGTGACCTTAGTTTACGACAATTTGAACACTGAAAAAATGTGGCCAATATCATTCAAAGCATGCAATACTAAGATGTCTTTTTTTTTGTTCGTAAGTTTGCTCCTTTTATTAACGTTTAAACACATGATTATATTGTTCCAAACATTGACCAATCTTTTTTGTTATATCCGTGATTTCATATTTTTTTACCACATTTATGTTAAAGTATCATAGATATGCATACGTGTTCTTTAGAGATAAATGTAATTTTTATACAGTTTTTCACGCCTTAGTTTGAAGGGGGATATAGTAAACATTGAAACTCATTAATCGTATTTTCATATCCTTGATTATTGTCATTATTATCTGAAAACCTGTTGCCGTTATTATTGGAAAATATAATCCTCCAAGGAATAGTTAATGCTCTTATTAATTAATTTCTGTTAAACAATTCTTATAGCTTTATGAGACGGAACATTTACAAACTTGTTCGACCCTTACAACGGAAAAGAAGGGAAATGGTGTACAAATCCATTACACTTGACAAATCTCGAATTAAAAAAAAAAAAAACAAACACCAGCGCTTTAATTGTTATTCCTCATCTCCAAGACTTCAAGATATAATAGTCAAGTAATTGCCATTGGTTTGTGTTTGTCTTTTGTTAGCTTCTCACGTGATAAACAATACCTTACAAATGTGTGATCGCAGTAATTCGCTGCTTGATTTGCTTATTAACAATTTTTAGCATGTTTGAAATGGTTGTGGTTTTTTTTTTATTTGTTACAAAAATTACAAAAATTGAAGTCGATATCGATATCTAGGCAGACGCAAAAGTACAGCTATGGTGTAATATTTCATATTTGTTAATAAATGTACTTTTTTGTGTGTAAAATATGACACTTAATTGAATATATGTGATATTGCTTTGTAATCAAGTTATAAAATCATTTATTATACCACAGACATTATATTACTTTAGACAGAAATGGTCATCAAGTATAAAACCAAAACAGAAAACTAATTATGGTAAATAAAAGAAGATGTGGGTAAACTTCGATGAAACAGCAACCACTAATACTATAAAAACCCAAAGAGAGTAGCCAAAAGCTTGGTAAAATAATATTCATATGATTTAATTTTCTGATTTTAGTTTTGGATTGTTATACGATTCAACATTTCATTGAATTTTAGAAACCAAATTCTACCAAAAAAAATATTCGAAACAAAAACAGGACCTTACACCTAGCTACTCCAAAAACAGCGCAAACTTTGAGCCTCATAGACAAGCGTTTATAAAATGCTTTGTTTTAAAAATGTTTTACATTTTGTTGAATATTCTAATTAAAAAGTTATCTCCCTTAAAAATATGTACCGCCTCAAGATGAACATTTTTATATTCAATTGAACAATAACCATTTAAAATGTAAGGCGGTTAAACACCTGTGCTAAGATGAGATTGAATAATTGACGATAAAAAGAGAACTACCAACAACACCATTTTCCTAAAATGAAAAATGTTCAATTCCAACGATGCTGCTGACTTGTTATACACGACATATAGCTAAAACAATTCAATAACAGACGAAAAACATAGGTTCAAGTAAGAAATTAGCCAGTTGTACATTTTCTGATGATGCTCTCAGTTACTGAGAGCAATCTCAAAGTACTGTAAAGACATTGTCAGATACAATGCACGAACACATGACATTCTTCAGTGGCCAAAGTAAATTCCCGAACAGATTTTCAAGACGAAAAAAGCAACCACGAAATTAATGAAACATTTGAGTCGCATTTCAAACTATAAAAAAGGGGTTTAACGTAATGAATTTGATTTTTGTTCTGGTATTGTAAAAAAACTCAAAATGTAAACCCGTTAAAATGCATCATACATATGCCACATAAGTCCGATACATACATTAAAGTATATTTTGATACTTGGGACACGTATGATACGATAATCAAATTACATCTCCTATAATACAAGAAACAATTAGTTGATAACAATATCATAACTGTGAACCTTTTCAATAAGTTTTAAATTCAAAGGGAAAACTTGTTTGTTTTAATCAATATTAGCGTATAGGTGGATGTGAAATATTTTCACTATAAGATCGCTTACATCATCATCTATAGGTGGAACGGTATTTACTTTTCGGGAACTAGGTTGCTCTTTTGTGTAATCTACTTAAGTCAATGTATCTAAACACTGTAAGTGGACAAAAATACAGCATCTACTGAACATATTTTCCCAAGCTGAAGGATGAATTAGATGTAGAAAAAATTTGAAATAATTTTACATACAGGTGAAGATAAATTTTTGAGAATTTTGTATTCACTGCACGATACAAGGCCTAAAAGAACCAGTGGCCTTAGGTTTATAAACATAAAAGAAAAGTAAACGGTCATCATACGTATTCCCATTTATCTCTGAATAGCATAATGAAAGTACTACAGTAAATTGTGTATGTAGGATCTGGGTCAGTGTTAGAGGGTGCTGAAAATTCTAAAAAGGTTATCATTATCTCTATGGCCCAGGAAAACACTACCGTTCCACCTATACGTTTGTTTCTTTAACATTTTATATACAATCAGTAAAGTACACGAAATGAGAGCTGTAGGACGGCGGGATTTCATATAACATTTTATTTACAATGAGTAAAATAATATTCATATGATTTAATTTGATTAGATTGTTTCAATAAATCTGAACACTATTTGATTATTCTTTATACTTGTGGTTTTTTATAACTGTTATGCCGTTAACTTGTAGTTACAGACTATTCCTGTACTGTTTTTTTTTTTATATGTATTTTCATAATCCTGAGTTGGTCTATTGATCGAGATTAAAAAGGACAGGTTGTAATCTCAAAAACTTTTTTATCGATAACGTATTTGTTAAGTTTGATTGATTAATATTTCAACAGAGTCGGTATTTCAATGGATACTAATTGTGCACCACTACTGGTCAACTTGTTTGTGTACTCATATGACGCAGAATTCATACAGAGCCTTCTCAAAGACTAAAAGAAAAAACATCTTGCAGGATCTTTAATTTCACTTTCAGAGATATTGATGATGTCCTGTCACTCAATAACCCCCTTTTCAATGACTGCTTACTTTTCATACTTTATTTGGCCTGTTTAACGTTTATGATTCGAGCGTCACTGATGAGTCATTTGTAGACGAAACGCTCCGCGGTCTGGCATACACATTTTTTATCCTGGAATCTATAATGAGTTTATTCACAACCACTGGGTCGATGTCAATGCTGGTGGAGGTTTCATCCCCAAGGGTATCACCAGCCCAGTTGTCAGCACTTCTGTGTTTACATGAATTATCATTAAAAATGACTGAAATTGACACTTCAAAAGTTCTAAGATCACAATAACGAATTGGTTCACTTATTCGATGTGTCCGTGTCTCAACTCACTAGCGACATATTCTTATGATAACAGAATAGTCATCAGATCTGTAGAATTAGCGATTGCACCCTATTCCTTATTGTGACATTTTGACTGAATGTGGATTCGCATGACATTAATGCATGCATAGAAGGAGACGATTACCTATCGACACATCTGGTCTCGCTCCTTCTTGGAGACGCTTACCTATCGACGCATCTGGTCTCGCTCCTTCTTGGAGACGCTTACCTATCGACGCATCTGGTCTCGCTCCTTCTTGGAGTTCATGCGATTCCTTTCGTTTTTGGTAGTCGTTTTACCTTGATTTGTATCTTCTTAATGGATTTACAAGATTTGAACATTGGAAAACTACTGTTGCCTCTAATCTATATTTTCCACGCCCAGACGCAAGTTTCGTCTACATAAGACATGGTAGTGACACTCCAATCAAGGGAGGCCTGGAAGATGAAGGGCCATCAAAATTAAAACGTTCTTAGAACCCCCTAATCAAAGAAAGAAAACCACCAAAAGGGGTTTATCATACCTATCCTACCCTGTCATTTAGTCAAAAGCAGGTCAACCTAACTTAAGGTTTATATAACTGGTAACTGTAATATTACACATTTACACAAAAACAATCACCGCATGAATCTACAAAACCTGAAAACATGATAAGAAAACTTATATAAATCCAGGGGTCGTTATTTAGGCAAACGTAAAATATCTGGAACAGGACTAATATACACCAAGGAGAGTCCGACATATATCATGCAAATTGTCCTTTACACAAGTTAAATGGCCCGTGACATCAGGTCCACAGAAAATCAAAATATGTAATCTGCAACAAACCACTTGCACCATAACTTTATCATAAATATATATGAAACATGCTTTTTATTTAGGTCAATTAGAAGAGGCGTGTAAATTTGTTTCCAATTACATCGGAAAAGATTGGAAGAAACTCTATGAAAGGCTGCCCTTTATTCCACCACGTGATCCAGACCGTAAGATGAAGGATATGGAAGTAATAGACAGAATATCTTCGCATAGAGACAGAACACCAGAGGAATCTGCACTTTTTAGCTTAGAAAAATGGAGGTCATTCAACCGTCAGAGTGAATTAGGACAATTGATTAGAGGTCTTCGAAAGCTAAATAAAGTTGAGCTTGCCGAAAAAATAGAAAGTCGTTACTCAGTCGAGGATGTGTATGGTTGATATTAAATTCTACTTAGTAAACCTTAAAAATTCATTTTCTATACAATAAAACGACAATGGCATATTAGCACAAAATACCCCGACAAAACGAATTACAAATGCTATTTAAAAGTAACAAAAATAACAAAGTAACAATAATTATCACCTAGATTGGTTTTCTTGTTATTAAAACCATATTTCGCATGAAAAGTTTAACAATATAAATCCTTCTTAATAATAAGCGAACAGCTGATACATGTAATTTTTGAAATCATGTTTTCCAGTTTAAATTCATTAAATCTTGAACAGTTTAAAAAACTCCAGAAAGAAATATGGGATTATGCAAGATCTTAAACATTTCAGGTCTTAGAAAATATTTTTTTCATGGACATGGCCATTTTTGATAATAATAAACTCACTCTTAAAAGTCCGCTCAAACGTGACTCACATCATTGAAATGCAAGAGATTAGAATCATAGTGAACGTGATAAGAGTCGTGTCGATGTTTTGAATAAAAGATCTTCTTCATTAAGATTGTTCCCCATACATTTTTATGGTAAACAAAAAGTTAGATAATCTGAAAAAAAAATCTGCTGTATAAAAGTATTCATTGAAAAAATTAAATCAAGTAAACAAAATATTTTTTAAAATCTAAAGTTAAAAAAACACAGAAAAAAAAACACCCCAGGATGAATTCCAAATTGAACAATATAAAAATACATGAAATACATGTAATTGACTTGGTAAAAGCGCTTTCCTGTCAAACGTTTAATTTTCCGATTTCCTATTAAGCAGTTAACTTATGAACACTTCGTGGCTAACCATATTTCTGAGGAACAATTTACCGTGTTCAAATGATTCCTATTTTTGTTCTGTTTTCACATTTCCCAAATTGATCAATATGAGAGTTTACAACATTCATCCAAATTATAGTGATTACTGCATGATAACATTTGTGTTTCTAATGACATTACCATAAACATGCAACCATTTTTATCCTTTATTCCATACTCGACACAATCTATTAATTACTCTGCTTTTGATCCAGTACTTCTATTATCTAAGACTTAAACACGTCGAGTTAAGTGACAATGCATCAAAATTAATCCGGTACTGAGAGATATTTACTTAAATATATTAGATAGGATAAAATAATTAGTCATTATTAATAACTGTCTTCATTGTTCAATAAAAAAAATTTGGTAAAATAAATTTATAGACAGTAAGAGTGCATTTCTTTCTTACACAAACGATGCAAACGGCTAAGCGCGCACATGTTTTGATCATTTGTTTCTAACATACGTTTGCAAAGTTTACATAAACTTTGACAAACTATGCACTCGCTAAAAACGCGTCTACAGTTTGTCGTTCATCGTTTGTTAGTACAAACGATACATTTGTTTCTAACTTCAACCTGATTAAACGATGTATTTGTTTCTACGTTTGCAAAAAGTCTGTTTACCAACAACATGTGCATGCATTATTGGAAGTTCAAACAGGGTCAGTAAACACTGATTTAACGATGTATTTGTTTCTACTTTTGTAGCGTTTAGAAAACAACAACAAACGCCACACAACGTTTACAAAATTTTGGTTAGAAAGAAATGCACTCTAATTCTAGTTCTGTAGTATTCTCTGCATACACATATATATATTGAATCTTATTTTGTTTACTGCATCTGTTTAGAATATTTTGCCATTTATATACATTTTGATAACAATGAAAATTAAATATATATTTATATAATATTTCTGTCAGCTCTGTCATTTTTCAATCAACATGCAAATGATTCAACAATTGAAATCTGATTTACCAAAATTCAATTAAAACGTTATGTAATATTCACAGCAAACATTTTTGATAATTTTGTCTTTGCGATTTCCACGTCTTACGCAGCTGATGGTAATGTGCGCACACATTGAAGAGCTACCCAAATGCTACTAGCATAAAAAGTAAAATAACAAAAATACCGAACTCCAAGCAAAATTCAAAACGGAAAGTTCTTTATCAAATGGCAAAAGCTCAAACACACCAAACGAATGGAAACAAATGTCATATTTCTGACTTGGTACAGGCATCTCCTTGTGTAGAAAATTGTGGATTAAACCTGGTTTTATAGCTACCTAAAGCACTCACTATAAGCCAACTTAACAGTAACTTCTTAATTTCTTACATTTTTGATACGTTATCAGGAGATGATATATAAAAAAGTATAATGGGACGTCCAATTGATATTCTTCCCGGGTTGCGGGTCAGGAGGATTCTTTGCAGATTGAATATTTCATCTGTTGATAAGCATGCCTATTATATTAGCGGCTTTGTCGCACGAAAACTTATTTTCGCTTTTGTACACAAATGTTTCCTACATTTTGAGTTGCAGAATATTCATTTCAATCCTGCCTTGTGCAAGATTATATATTTTCAGCGGTTACCAGGACAGGATATTCATTTTCAAAATCCACCCCTCCCCGAAAATCAAATGATCGTTCCCGGACAATACAGCAGACCAAACTTACCACTGCGGAGACAATAATCAGTTCGATTTTTGAATAATGGAAGTCTAGACATGGATGATTCTATATGCCCGCCCGTCCGCTGATTGGTAGGTCATAAAAGTGTTTGTAATTTATAAGAATTGAGGGAGAATTCAAACAAAACAATAATGAATAATAACGTATCAAAATGTAAGAAGTTACTGTAAGTTGGCTTATAGTTCTTAACTTGTTATGATATCATGCCGTTTTTATAATCTAATATCGGTCTCAGCAACATCATAAACAGAACAGACATGATGTTGTGCCAGAACAAACCTTTGCAGAATTCCAGGACAGGAGATCAAAGGAAACATTTTATATAACTTTACACATTTAATGAAAATAACACGTTTTAAATTTCGTGCGCCCAAAGCGTTTTCTGGATATACCTTCATCAAGAACGCTCAAACCACCTAAACATTTGACATCCAGGAAGCCAAAATACTTAGAAACATTAAGGGCTATATCACCTACTAATTAGAAAATTGGGTTTATTCTGGCTATTTTTTTACATTTTGAATTGTATAGGTAAATTATTTAGAAATTCATGTTGGAGTTCCTATAATTATTTTGTAAACAAAGATATTAAGTTTGATCAAGTTTGATTATGTTTTAACAACACTTGACTAATTAAAGGTAAATATAGTGTCGAAATGAAAGAGAATGAAAACTTTTTAGACGTTACAAAAGAGAGGCGAAAATTACCAAAGGGACATTCAAACTCATAAGTCGAAAATAAACTGACAAAACCATGGCTAAAAAAGAAAAAGACAAACAGACAAACAACAGTACACAAAACACAACATAGAAAACTAAAGACTGAGCAACACGAACCCCACCAAAAACTTTGGGCGATCTTGGGTGCTACGAAAGGGTAATCAGATCCTGCTCCATATGTGGCACCCGTCGTGTTGCTCATGACAATATATATCAAAATAATTACATTACATGCATGTTTCATTATAATCCGTATTTCTGATTGGCTGACAACAATCGTGAGGCACTACAATTATATATTTTATTTCCGTATAAAACAGCTATGACTTCACGTACTATCCCTGATAATGTTAAAACAATGCATAGAAAAGAAACGAAAAGATAAATATAACTCTTAATATCATGGCTGTAGCATACTAATGTAACTATAACGATTGAATGCTTCTTTTTATAATCATATATGGTTGTGAAAGCTATGAATGTTCGCAGAAGATGTTCTTCGGTCAACGCTTTTACACCCCAATAAAATTATAAAATGAAGCATTCAATTTTTAAATTGAACACATAGTAGCGGATGTTTTTTGCACTGATTTTACAAGTAAAATATAGTCCCCCACCCAAATTCATTTTATATTTTGTCTGTTCTATTGAAAAAAATATAGATCTTGTTAATCTTTTATCATTTATCTGTCAGACATAATTCAGAGAATCGTATTATGAAGTGTAGATTTAAAGAAATAGGTAAACTACCAAATCTATCATTTCTATATATATCAAACATCTAACATTAAATTGAGGTCAACAATGTTCTATTGAGTTGCGTAATAAAGTGTTTGTTTGATTATGTAAGTCTGAAGTTCGATAAATAAGTCAATATCATCGGCATTTAAGAGGATATTGTTCCAAGTAAAGCTCCACCCTCTCTACTGTAATTTTTGCAAAAAACACAAAAATATGTTCAGCATTCAAGGGCACTACCTCTAAAAGAAGTGGACTGAATATGTTGGCTTTGTTGACCTATATGTTGAACGTATGTTCCAAATATTTCTTAATGTTTTCAGTGTAAGACTATCTTCTACGATTTACCCAAAACTAAAAAAATCGTGAAAGTCTTCATTCAAGGTTTTTATCACCTAATTCAGCACACAATTTAGGCTATGTTGATCTGTTTGTAGTTCTTGTCTTGCAGGACATTTTTTTGTCTTTAAAGTTTCAATCTAAGTATTTTATACTTAACAAGGTAATCAGGAAAAATGCAAAACAAAATGGTAAAAAAATCGTCATTTAAGGGCATAACTCAAATGAAAGTTGGATCGACGATTTTGGCAACATAAAGATATTAGTAAATTTTGTCTTGCTGATAATTTTTACCATTAAAAGTATGCTAACACCGCCGCATTTTTGCGACTGTCCAAAGTCAGGAGCCTCTGGCCTTTGTTAGTCTTGTATGTTTTTTTTTAAAATTTTGGTTCATTTATATGTTTCGGAGTTTAGTGTGACGTCCATTTTCGCTGAACTAGTACACGTTTTTGTTTAGGTGCCAGCTGAAGCCCACCTACGGGCGAGGGATTTTCTCGCTGAGTTGAAGACCCATTGGTGGCCTTTGGCTGTTTTCTGCTCTTTGGATGGGTTGTTGTCTCTTTGACACATTCCCCGTTTCCATTCTCAATTTTAGGTATGCTAGAAATCAAACGTTTGTATAGACCAAAAATATAAAACCTTTAAGAGCACAAATACTAGACTTGACTTAAAAGGCCAGGGAATCGTCGTAAGACAACTGTGCATGGGAGAGGTCAACATCAGGTTTAATGCGTTTGCATATTTTATGAACTTGTAAGGAGGAGTCTTGATGAAAGCCATAATTTGGCTCCTGAAATTAGAAAAATGGTAAACTTATTCAAGGCTTTCAAAAGTATGTTAATTTTATTGATAGATGAACAGGTTACTATAATCTGGCGGCATAAACATGTGAAAATGTTCTTATTTAACCTTAAATTGCCATTTCATGCATAGTTTTGGTCACAATATATATGAGAAACAGCTTTACCCATAAAGATATGTTACACACATAAACATCTTTGTAAAATATATTTTGTTGCAAATATCTTTTTGAGAAAAGCTATTGCTCATATCTAAATATAATAACATGATTTCAAAATGAGTGCTGTTTTGCAATTATTGTAAGCAGTTTGAAACCTTTATGCACATATGTAAGACAAAATTAAAAATACTTATAAATATAGATGTCCTACAAACTGATGTCTTATGATCATCTGAGGAATGTTATTTGGGAGATTTATAATACCTTTTGATTTTTGAAATCAAGGGACAAAAATAGTGGTATAATCATACCTTTTCCTTTACAAATAAAATGTAGCATTACAATTATGTAAGTACCAAAGCAATAAAGTCAGTATTGGTTGATTGTACTTTGTATGCTCAGGGACTGACAGTTCACCAGCAGCCCTCCTTTAACAGTGGTAGTTAAACATGTACCACATTGATTTTTCTGTATACATCATGTGTTTACAGAATAAAAACAAATCTAAAATATTAAACATTTAGACATTGAAAATCAAAGCTTTTTAAAGAACAACCAAATTTTTAAAGGTCATCTTGCCATGAGGAAGTTGCAATCTTAGTTTTAGTGCTACTTCAAAATAGAAGAATTGGAAATCAACAGAGAAAAAGTAAATAAGCAAACCAAAAAAAATCTATATATGGCTAAGTTTTTTTTTTAATTTTAACTTGATGAACAGTCTTTATGAAGGCTCTTTATTTTATGGTTACAAGTTGGTTTCAATTATTCTGAGGGAAATATAAAATTTAATCAAAGCATCGTCGGTGCTGTGATCCAGTTAATTTGACTGATATACATGCGACTAAGTTCAAATTTCTCTTACTTTATACTACTTATTCTATCAGAATTTTGTTATGTTTAAACTGAAGCATAATGAACAAGTAGTAAACTTTTGTACGGTTGCCTATTATTGCTTACATTTACTTCATTTGAACATGGGTGGATAGTTGTCTCAATGGCAATCATACCACATATCCTTTTTTTTTGTAGATAGTTTAGATTCATCTAAAATATTGTATTTAGTTCAACAGTATACAACCATGGACCAATAGATAAAAAGACTTCAAATTAGAATTTTATTAACTTAACTGTAAACAATTACTTTTGGAGGTATTTCTATGTTCAATTAATGTAGGTATACTTTTCTTCTACCTCCTCTTAGAATTGTCTTTTCAATTTTGATAAAAATCACATGACACTGAAGATGAATGGTAGAAAGTTGGCAGAGGTCTATTTTTATTGTCTTTCTTTAAAGTGTTTTTTCTATAGACCCAAAATGGAACATTTCTCAATATTGATGCAAATTCTATTGATATTTCGATTTAAGAAGGTTCACTGATTTGTAACATTTTCGTTCTAAAACATTTCTAATTTAATGATTTTGTTATGGTTTGAAATAGAAATGTTGGTGAAGTAT